TAGAGTCTGGGGGCCTACAAGGCTGCCTAGAGGAGGATGAGGGAAGGCAGGGGATGCAGAGTTGATGTCTGGCCATTATCACTGGTATGAGGGCCCAGCCAGAGGGTGCTGGACTCAGCAGTGGGAACAGTGAGTAGCTGACCCCACAAGCCAGGGCAACAGCTCTCTGTAGGAGGCTGGGCAGCAGGAACAATCTTCTCAATGCTTAACATCCACACAGAGAGGAACACCCACAAACCATGCAAGTGCTGAGATACAGGAGACATGACCATTCAACTTTTAAACTGACAGCTACCCTGTGCACCCATTAAAACTGGATAGACTGCAGCATGGTTCAGCAATGGGAAACCACACACAGCAGCACATAAGAAACAAATCACAGCTACATACCGAAGAGCCTGAGTGAGTCTCAGAGACATCATAGCATCTAGCAAAAGAGACAGTCAGATGACACGGAATATTTGTTTAACTGTGCAAAGATGTGCTGTGTTTGTTTATGCTGAGGAATATTTGTTTAACTATGTAAAGACGTGTTGGACTTATTTATGTTGTGGAATATTTGTTTAACTATGTAAATATGTGTTGCATTTGTTTACCTTGCCTGCCTAAGGTACCTGATTGGTCTAATAAAAAGCTAACTGGTCAATAGCAAGGCAAGAGGTATAGGCAGGACTTCCAGATAGAGAGTAAGTAGGAGGAGGGATCTAGGCTCAACAGAGACAGAGGGAGACAGAGGGGAAAAAAAGAAAGAAAAAGAGACGCCAGGGAGATGCCAAGGGCCAGCCAGCCAGACATAGAGGAAACAGGAAGGTAGGACATACAGAACGAAAGAAAGGTAAAAAAGTCCTGAGGCAAAACATAAATGAATAGGAACAGGTTAAGTTAAAAGAGCTAGTGGGACAAGCCTAGGCTAAGGCCCAACATTCATATTAAGTACCTGTGTCTTTATTTGGGAGCTGGTTGGCAGCCAAAGAAAATTCCAACTACAGTCAGATCCCATAAGTCTGCTTATAGGAAGTCCCCAAACTAGTAAAAGTGGTCATCTCTGGGGTGCTATATAGACACCTATCAGAGTTAGCTTCAGTTGTCAACTTGACAGAACTCAGTCACTTGGGAGAGAGAACCTCAAATGAAGAACTGTCTGGATAAAATTGACCTGTGGCCTTATCTATGGGGCATTATAGTGGTTGCTAATGGTTGTAAGAGGGCCCAGATCACAAGCCGGGCGTTGGTGGCGCACGCCTTTAATCCCAGCACTCGGGAGGCAGAGGCAGGCGGATCTCTGTAAGTTCGAGACCAGGCTGGACTACCAAGCGAGTTCCAGGACAGCCTCCAAAGCCACAGAGAAACCCTGTCTTGAAAAACCAAAAAAAAAAAAAAAAAAAAAAAAAAAAGAGGGCCCAGATCACTATGGGCAGTGCCATTCCTGCCCATCGTGTATAAGAAACTAAGCAGAGAGCAAGCCAGTAAGCAGTACTTCTCTGCTTCATTTTGACCTGGGAGGATTTTTTTAAAAATAATTTAATTTTACTTTATGTATATTGGTGTGAAGGTTTCACGTTCCCTGGAACTGAGTTACAAACAGGTGTGGGCTGTCATGTGGGATCCGGGGGTCCTCTGGAAGAGCGGCCAGTGCTCTTAAGCGATGACTCACCTCTCCAGTCCCAATCTCATCACTTCCTAAAGACCTTCTTCCTGGTACTGATTCGGTTTCAACAGGGGACTTAAGGAGGACACTCACATTCGGGGGAGAGTAAGTTGTGGCAGGCCTGGAGGGGCTGTGTCCTCCTCCTGGCAGAGAGGTCAGTTACAGAAGAAAGGATATAGCAAGTCTGTCTAGTTACTTAGTGGTTATCCACGAAGGACATGTAAGCTTTATGCACATTTGTCAACTTGGGACATTATAACAAAGCTGTAGCCTGGATGCTTTCAGAAATGTATTTTCTCACATAGCTCTGACAGTTACAGTTCAAGATCAGGTCCAAGGTGGAGATTCAGGCCAACATGATTCTGTGGAGGGGGCTTTCTTCCTGGTTTAAAGGTATCTCACATCTAATAGCTCTTCTGTCTACTCTTGTAAAGCTACTATCCATGTCACTAACCCTAACCCTTGCCAGAGGCCTGCCTCTGGGATCCAGGCCTCAGGATTAGGGGCACATCTGGCCCTCTGTGCGTGTTCTGGATATGAGAGGAAACACTCACTGGAAAGTTTCTTGGAAGGAGCTGTGGGAGAGCTGTGGCAGTGACTGAGGGACAAGGAAGAGGAGGCATCTGTGTAGATTCTTCTAGCATCAGCCATGAAGCGGCGGGAGCTCACGCGGATGTGGAATGGAGGCTGCTCCTTCATGAGGGGGACATGGAGGCTCCGGAGGACCTTGCTGGTGTATCTCTAGCTTAGCCCCAGTTGACTCTTCATCATCATGACCCATTGAAGCAGGGTGTTCATCTGAGCCATTCAGGCTCTACGGTGTCACTATGGGGACATGGCTGGACAGCAGGGACACAGCAACATTCACCACGAGTTCAGAAAGGCAGGAGTCTGTGCAGAGAGTCCACGGGGACTCATGTTTCTGTTGTGATGGACATGCACAGAATAAACAGGGACAATGGGTTCTATGGCTGAGAGGTGCAGGTGTTGGGCATGGGGCCCAAAGGGGAGGCCTGGCTCTGACTGGGGGTCAGAGAGGGTCGTACATGACTATTCTCCATGCCAAGTTCACCATCATCGGGGGCCAGCAGGGACTGTTCCAAAATGTCATCCCACCTGGCTTCTTAACTGCTGATGTTTCCTCCTAGGAGGAGGGTTGGGAGGGTTATAGGACCCTCACCTACACATGCAGCTGCCCCCCCAATCGACTGTATGCATTTCTGCTCTATTCTATATGGCCTTAAGGAGGTTGGGTCTCAGGGAGGGGCTAGACTATATAGGTAGGGAAGGACTAAAGGGTGGTGGGTCTCCGCCATCTCTGCTGGGTGAAGCCCTTCCAGTGTGGCTGCTTTAAGGTAACACACACCCCTCACTCACTGCCCTATAACTGAACCTAACACATCCAGTGGTTCCCAGGGTGAATTTAGGTATAGACTCCAACTTTTAATCATGGGGACATTGGGAAGGGGCATGTGGATGTTGCTTAGTTCCCCCCAGGGTAAAAACTCTCACAACACCGAGGCAGTGCAGGTGAGCCCTGAAGAAAACAGGATACTGCAGGCTTGGGACCTAGGATCCTCAGCATGGCTCAGAGCCATAACTGTGGCATTAGGTGTTGACAGGCTGTTTTCTGTGTGGTCCAGGGCATCCAAGCAGGTAATGCTAGACAGACAGGCAAGAGGGTGGGTGTGGGGAGCCCTTTAAGACCAAGCGATAGAGTTGTGTGTGTGCTGGGTAAGGGTTTGGAGTGGGTATCTAAGTAGAGCAGGTGTTGGAGAAGGGAGAGCATGCCAGGCCAGGAAGAGACCATGGTTTGCTAGTCACTTTACTGTGGGGACTGAGCTTGCCCGAATGTTTTGGCCTTGAATTTGCACTCAGGCCAGGAGGTAGGCAGTGGTGGCCTGCTCCATAGTAGAGAAGTCCAGCCTGGGGTATGTCAGGGGACTTGCCCCTGGTCATTCAGCAAGCAGGTGCTGACCAAGCCCCAGGCCTCTGTGCATGTGCGAGGGTGGGGTGGAGTGCTGTCTAGCCTTTTCCTCAACACCCTGGAGGACTCTGAGGCACATGCTCCACCTTACAGGCCCTCAGCAGGCCTTCTGTGGACATGAGTTCTAGCTCTCGATGCCTTCATTTTCCAGCAGGAAACCAGAGTCCCTCCAAGCCACCCTCTCCCTTCCAATATCCTCTGGACTGCAATGGGGAGGAGGGTGCCTGGAGTCCCACAGGCCAGCTGAAACAGCACTGTGGGATGGGGAGTAGCCTCAGAGGCACCGGCCTCAGCTTGTGCCTAACGCCTTGGACTCCAGGGCCCTCTCCCTGCTTACCCGAGTGCCTAACCCCTCCCAAGGGAGGCTAAGCTGCTGTCCAGTCACAGGTGAGCTCACTGAGAACCCAGGTAGACTAAGGATCAACATTCCTGAGGCCCCTGTGTCCCCTTACAGAGGCCTCAGGGTAGGAGTCAGCTGAGGATGTGGCAACTATTAAAAGAGATCCCCCCTCCACACCCCCTCAGGGCCCTGTATATGTCTGGCTCATGGAGGATGCTGGAAATACCTGGATGACAAAGAGAGGCAGTAAGTAGGAAAGGGGGAAGGGAGCAGAAAAGGAGGGACAGAAATAAGTACCGAAAAGGAAGAGAAAGGAGGAAAAGGAGGCAGAAGCCCTGGCTCAGCAGGGAGACTCCAGAGATGAAGTGCACTCCACGGTCTCTGAATGTTCCCATGCAGGAATCGGTAGGCACATCTCACCTATGAGTAGAAAGGTGGGCAGGACCGGTGGCAACTCACCCCCAGCCGAAATCTCCAGTTCTGCCTCGTGGGGTGCTGATCTTCCGCCCCACAAAGGCACGCTGGGCAGTGTCCCCCTCCCCCGCAATTGTCAGACCAACATACGTTTTCTTTTAAAAGGGCCACGACATTCTCGCGCTCCCGCCCCTCCACCCCCCAAGTCTCTCCTCCAGCCTCCTTGTCTCTAATTGGAACACCTGGCCACCAAGGTGGACTCCACTCAAGATAGGTGTTCCTCCCGGGTGGCGTCCCGGGCTCCAGAGGTGACCGCTGAGGCAGGGACTCGGTGCATCAGCTCCACCTGCGCGGTGGCTGCGCGGCCGGGGGCGGAGAGGCGCGCGGCGGAGGGAGGGGCCTGCGACACGGCCCTGCCACAGCGCAGCGGAGCTCAGCGTTGCGCGTCCCTTTGCCGCCGCTGCCGCCACCACCAGGCGCCCGGACGCAGCGCGAACCGAGCGGCCGGGATGCGCGCCCCGGCCCCGGCCCGCCCCACGCTGCGGCCGCCTCCTGTCCGCCGCACGCTCGCCTGAGCGCGGCGCCCTCCTGTCTCCGGCCACCCGGCCGCGATGCCCGCCCTCCCGGGCCCCGGCGGCCCGCAACCCTGCTAGGCTGCGGCGGCATGGCCCGCGCGCCCGGCGCGACCTCTGCGGATTGCATCGGTGTGCGGCGGCGGGGCATGCCCAGGGCACCGGGCGCGGCCTTCAATGGGCGAGGACACGGACACGCGGAAAATTAACCACAGCTTCCTGCGGGACCACAGCTATGTGACAGAAGGTAACGTACGTGTTGTCTGAGACCCCCTCCGGCCGGCCGCGGCGTGGGGATGCCGTCGCACCGAATGCCCTCCGAAGGTTTGGACCGCGCGCTGTGTGTCGTGTCCCCCCACCCCCACCCCGACCCCGGACCGGGAGGGAGGGACCCGTGGGGCTCTGACCGCTGCCCAGCGCCCTCCTCCGTGTCGCCCTCGGGAACGCAGCTGTCCTTCCCCCGCCGGGTGGCACTGGATCGGGCCCTGACTATCATTTACAAAGCCCAAGCCTGCAGCAAATCTGGTGTGGAAATCTCCGGGACGTGGAAAGGCTTACAAATCCTTCATTTGCCCTTTCAGCCTGACCAGAGTCCACAGAAATTTCTAGATTGCCCACTCCCTGGAGAGGGACCCAGCGGGAAAAATTCCATTGCCAGGTCCTCCAGGGTTCAGCTGCCCTGGCACCTCCCTGGCCTCCAGAGGCGGATCCCATGCGTGGGAGGGGGAAGGAAGCTCGTTCCGGCTACTGTTTTATTCCTGGGTAGTGCTACTGAGACAGGAGCTCAGCCAGACCTTCATGGTTTTCTGGAAAAAGTGGGACATGCTACCCCAAACAGGCTCTGCGTCTAAAAACCCCTAAGTTGGCCTAAGTCAGTCCCCACCAAAGGCTGGTGGGATGCAGAGGAGCGGTGCGCTTTGCTAATGTAACAGTAACTCCCGGGGGTCCCCGGGCCCTGCCTGGCCGCAGAAACGGTGGGGACACCTCGAGCTCGCAGCCAGAGGCAGGAGGAGCGAACGGATGCAGTGAGAGAGAGACCTGGCCACAGTGGCCCATGGGCACCCTGCTGCTGGAGACCTTCATGGGCAGTGTAGGCGTCTCCTGCTCGGGGGCGGCGGACCTGGCCAGGAGGTGTCTAGGGCAAAGCAGGTGACTGCCCGGAGTGGGAGAAGCTCTGGCACTGAGTCCCCGGTGGGTGCCTGCTCCAAGGAACCTGCGTGGGCCTGGCATCCCGGGTGCCGAGCTCCGCCGGAAATGAGGCGGGCGCGGCGACTCCCGGCGGGTGCGCGGACCCGGGAGGAAGAGACTAGGTGTGCAACCCAGGCGTGTGGATGCTGAGGGCGGCGCTCCGGGGAGAACCGCTGAGTCACGCGTTGCCGCGGGGTGTACAGGGAGAGGAGGCAAGGCTGCCAGGCCCGGGCTGGGTGGCGGCATTGCCTAACTCGGTTTTGGGAGGCCCCTGGCGCAGAACTCAGTCCTTTGTCGCTCACTGGGTGATGCGGAGGAGGGTCGCACTTCGTGAAGATGATCTGCTCACAGCCTGCCTAGTGGCAGAAGGCAGCCGGTTTGGCTGGCGGGCTTCTGGGCTTCTTGGCAGGGAGTCGTGCGCAGGGCCAGTGTTGGTCGGGCTTTCTTGAAGGAAAGCTTCAGTTGTTTTCACCTGCACACTGGGGATGAGACAGTGGGCTTCAGAGCTTATGTGTAACAAACACAAAATGCATGGTGCCCATCTCGCAGGGGGACAATTCAAAGTGTTGCTCCCATCTGCATCCTACTTCCTCTTCCTTTATAAAAACCACCTTGACAGGGTCTGCAGGAGAAGCAGGGACCTTCATGGTTCAGCAGCTGTTACTGATGCTGCTATCCCCGAATCTTCAGGTTCTAACACTGGGACTGGATGGAGGTCCCCTGCCCTTGTCCATCCCGTGTTCTAGCAAGGAGCCCTGTGACCTGAGGGGGAGTCTCATGTGCCTCATTTTATCTGTACAATAGAAGGGAATAAGACCTTTCCCCCTAAGCCTTCAGGCTGTGAGAGTTGGGTGAGATGGTGAGGAGGGGCTACCTTCGACCTGTAAATAGAGATTGGCAGCTGAAATGTACTAAGCACCTACTGTGTTCCGGGCTTTCATGTAAGGCCTGGTGGAAGTCTCCTCATGAATTCTGGGCATCTAGCAGTGTGTGGGAGGCTCAGGCAAGGAGGAACCCCATCAGACACCCCTCCCCTTCAGGAATGTAGAAGAGAAACGCCCTTAGACTGAGAGTTGTGGCTTCTCTAAATGAAGATAGGACCCCATACATAAACACACTCGTTCACTTATACACTCCAACTATGAGAGTTACAGCTATTCCTTAAGTTAGCCATTTACTTCCTGACCCAGGGGCATTACACTCTTCTCTCTGGAATACCCCCCTCTCCCTTTCTCAAGACCAACTCCTACTAAACCCTTGAATCCTCAGTCCAATGTCGTCTTTGATAGTGAGAGCCCTGCCTCAGTTCTAGATCTATCAAATCCTAAATATCCTCAGAATAGTCAGAGTTCTGTTAGCCACTCACACTGTGGTGGATTGAATGAGAATGGCTCCCATAGGCTCATATATCTGAATGTTTAGTAACCCAGGAGAGGAAATGTATAATAGGATTAGAAGGATTAGGAGGTGTGGCCCTGTTGGAGGAAGTGTGTCACTGGGAGTGGGCTTTGAGGTTGCAAAAGTCCATGCCAGACTTTTCTCAACCTCTGCTTGCAGAACACGATGTAGCTCTTAACTACTTCTCCAGCAACATTCCTGCCATGGTGCACAGTGATGATAATGGACTAAGTCATCCTTTGAAACTGTAAGCAAAGCCCCAGTTAAATGACTTCTCTTGCCATGGTCATGTTGTCTCTGCATAGCAAAGAACAGTGACTAAGTCAGAGGTTGGTACAAGGGAGCAGAGTATTGCTGTGACGGGCATCACCATACTGTTTGTTAGAGGAATATGGAGGACTTTGAGACTTTGGACTGGAAAAGTGGTTGAACACTTTAAGCAAGGCTTAATGGTCCATCCTAATAGGAGCATGGAAAACAATGCTGAGGGCAGTTTGAAGACTATTATCAGTAAGTGGCCTAAAGATCATCCTTGTGATATTTTGGCAAAGAATGTGGCTCCTCTCTGCTCATGTTCTGAAAGTCTGCCTGAAGCTACATTGAAGAGTTTTTGAATTAATGGCATTGGCAGAGGAGATTTCAAGACAGCTAGTATTGTCTCTGTCATGTGGTTATTAGTATTCACTCTTCTGCAGATCTATCATGAAAAGAAGCAAGCTGGACAAAGAGAGATACAAAATGTACAGTTTGAGGGGAAAAGGAGCACCAGGAGTGTACTGGACTTAAGTGAAGTGGTCAAGGACAAAAAAGGTTTAAAGAAAAGCTTGGCACTAAATGGAATAAAGGGAGTGGTGACTCAGGGCAAGTCCCCACTCAGCGAAGGTCCCAGCTTGTGAAAAGGAATGAAAGAAATCTTAAGCACTGAAGGAAACAACAATAGAAAGCTGATGCAAATGTAACTGAAAAAGGGGACCAAGTTCCAGCCCTATCAAACTAGAATTTGGCAGCCCCCACTATGTTCTGGCTTTAGAGTCAAGGACACAAGAAAAGGGTTGTAGAATCTCCCTCCATGGCTAAGGAAAGCTACTGAGACCAGGTGTGTGTCAGGGTGTCCCTTAGGAGCAGGCCCAGATAGGCTATTGCATGGATGTTAGAGATGCTAGAGTCATGGGCTACCTTCTGAGGAAACCTGCAGGCTGGGTGTGGAACCAGCTCAAGAAAGACAAGTGTGTTGCAGTCAACAAAGCTGGAAGGAGTTGGAGTTCTGAAGATCACTTTGACATTGGACATGGGGATTCAGCGTTTGGAGTTTGTCCTTCTGATTTTCCATCTTGTTTTGGTGTACTATTTCCTCACTATGCTCTCTTCCCTCCCTTTTGGAAGTGATGATCTGCCAACATAGAGACAATTCACTCAATGATACCAGCAATGTCTCAGCTCTTTTGGTACCCAAGTGTCGCTGTAATGATAAACGGCACACTTGTTGAGGGTATAAGTAACTGTTTATTGTAGAAAATACAAGAGAAAGCGGGAAACCCAGATGAGTCAAGTCTTTCGCTACCGAACTGGAAGCCGGAAAGAGAGCGAGCGCAGCTCTGCTGCAGTCTTTTATTCCCACCTCCATTCACGCCTCTAGCCACACCCAAAAGTGGGCCTGGCTAGCAGCATAGTTCACGGCCTACATCCGTCTGTGTCTCTAGTCACGCCCAAAGTGGGTGTGGTTAGCGGCGCAGTAAACCGCCCTTTTATTACTATATCTACATGTGCCTCTATTGCTCCACGTGGCTAATGGTGGAGTCCTAAATCTCCTCCTACACCCAAGGGTGTTCCTCTTACCCAAAGATGTAAGAAGAGGGTGTTGGATCCTCTGGAACTGGAGTTACAAATGGTTCTGAGACCCATATGGGTTTTGGAAACTGAACCAGGAAGAACTGCAAGTACTCTTAACTGATGAGTTATTACTCTGGCCCCATATTTGTTTGTTTTGCTAGGGAGAGGAGTGGGATGTTCCGTTGAACCTGGAGCTTATTGTTAGGGCTGGCTGACTTGCCAGTGAGCTCCAGGGATCCATCCATCTTTACTTCCCCAACGCTGGGGTTACATGTGTGTGCTGCTGTACTGGGCTTTCATGTCGGTTCTGGAGTTTGAACTCAGACCCTCTTGTTTGTATGGAAGCCACTTTATTGACTGGGCCATCTTCCTAGCTCCTATATTCAGTTTTTCCTAATTTTGGAGGTCCCTCTATAGAATTCCTGGTTTCCAGACCTCTCACCCAGGGTACAATATACTGAGACCCTCTCCAAACGACCTGGTGCTGTGATTCTTCTACTTTGGGTCAGTCTGACTCATGAGTTGCTGAGATAGAATTCATAGCTTCATGTTGAGACACCGTTTGGAGGAGAAGAAAGGCTTCAACAGCTATGAGGTCACTTGCTAGTTAGTTAGTGAGAAGTCTCAGCTCCATCTTCTCATCTAGTGAAGGAAAGGCAAATTCAATGATCCGCAAGTTCCCTTCTCATTCAGTGTTCTCTGATTCTAACGTCGGAAATAAAAGTTTTCCCTCCTTTCCCTAGGCATATTCTCCTTATCCTTCCTTGTCTAAGACCATTCTCCGAGCCAAACAACTGCCATCTTGTGGCATTCCGCTGTGTCTGCTTACAA